ACCTTGCTCAAGGTTCTTGGGTGCAAAGAGCGCGGCCACAAGTCACAGGGCCCGCTCGTCCATGCGACCGGTAAAGGCTGGGTCAAAGGGCACAAGGGACAGTACTACGACGCGCTCCATGTCAAGAACGGAATCGTCAAAATTTGTCTCGTCGAAAGCCAGGGCGGCATCGCGCCGCCAACCAAGAGAATCATCCACAACTTCGCCAAAGAGGTCGGCCAGCCCGAGCGCCGTCGACCGCACCGTCCACCGACTACGGCACAGCCTCCGGCAGCGCCCGGGGCTTTGTCCAGCACCACTCGCAACAGCTCTCGCGCGCCGCCGTCTGTGGCGACGCGCAAAACATCAACAACGCTGCTCGCAACATGCGACAAAAACAACATAATGTTGCTAAAAATCTCTCTCTCTCAACATGCGTGTCGCGCACTCATTCATGACCGGTCTCAATGCCCCACCCCCCTGCGCGCGGGCCTTCTAGGCCCGCGGGTAGTCTCCCCCCATTCCCAGGGCCTCCAGGGCTCGCACCTCCGTAACGACCTCAACCTCTCACAGACCAGCGCATAGCGCCATAGCAGGTATTTTCTTCTCAATAACAAGGCTGTGAATCGTGCACTATCACCCTGCCTAGGTACTGAAGAGTGACGGGCCCGCTAGAGACGACGACGACGAGACAGTTCAGGTGGTCCACGCCTTGGTGAGAAAGAGGTCCGCGTATGGATTTGGGAGCTCGCCAGCGCACGCGACAGTCGTGGCGGCGCCGTGCCGGCTCAGCAGACGTAACGCCCGCGCTCGCAGAGGTGCCCGTCGGCGACCCGGCTCGGCCGGCGGCGTCCTTCGCCACGCCCGCCGTGTTCCGCGGGCTGTGCTCGGCATGGCCTGCGTGCCGCTGGACGGAGCAGTCGCTCGCTCGCGCGCTGCCGACGGTTCGCGTGTCGCGCTCTCGCTCGGGCGAGTACCCGCGCGACAGCGCCTCGGGGAAGCCTTGCCCTATGGAGACGGTGCCGACGGCTCGCTTCCTGGCCGCGTTGCGGGAGGGGCCTCCGACGGTGTACGTGCACGGCGAGGTGCTGCCCGACGCGCTCATCGCCGACTGCCCGCCGCCGCACCCGCTGCTCAGAGGAGAGAGGGTGGCGCGGCGCTCGCTCTGGCTTTCCGGCGACGGTGCGCGCTCCCCGCTGCACTACGATCTCCCGATGGTGCTCCTCTGCCAGCTCCATGGCCGCAAGCGGGTGACGCTCTACTCTCCGCGCTACCACGACCTGATGCGGCCTCAGTGCAGCACTTGGCCCGCGCTGACGGCGCAGGAGCGCATCGCGGGTACGTCGCTCGGGGCTGCGGAGCTGCGGGGTTGCGAGGGTCTCATCGTAGAGCTGCGGCCAGGCGACGCTCTGCTGATGCCGAGCGGCTGGTGGCACGAGGTTGAGAGCGTCGGCGACGCGCGCGACCGCCTCTGTGCGTCCGTCGGCCTCAACTGGCCCTCGATCGCGGACGCGCTCCCCGCATTCGCGTCGCACCGCGATGCAGTGAGGGCGTACCCCGTCCTCACGCAGGGGCGGGTGGTGGCGATGATGCACGGCGAGGCGAAGGCGAGGGCCGCCCTGCCGCGAGCACAGTACGACCTGCCCGTGTTTGCGGAGTGAGACGCATATTGAAATAAATAAATATAAAATAAACAAAACGGTCAAACTCTGAAAAAGGAAAAGAAAAATGAAGAGAAAGAATTTAAACAACACAACTCTCTCTCTCACATAAAGGGTGTGGAGCCTGTCTGCTATTGCCGCAGCCACTTCACAGCGCTCCTGTGGGAAGAGGCCCAGGGAGGAGCAGCATGAGCTCCGCGAGACCGAGGCCCCCTCGTGGACCGTGAGTTGAGGAAATCGAGGGACGCGATCCACCTCGCCACAGACGGTCCCGCGCCTCGCCGCTAAGACGGCGGCACGGCCGCAGCTCGTGTGCGTGTCGCCGTCTTTGTCCGGAGTGAATACTCCAACGCGCTCGTCGGTGGCGGCGGCTTCCCTCAACCGCTGCGCCGCGCTCGGCGAACCTCGACAGCGCCTTCGGTGGCATGCATCTCTTTGCGCCTGAAGCCTGGAGAGCAGCTCCTCTGCTGCTCACACACTCTGGCCTCTGCACAGTTGGCACAGCCTACTGTGCGGCTGCCACAGCTGTGACAGTCAGCGATGGGCTCGCCCTCACTGGCCGACTCAGTCACTTGTGCTGCGGCAGGCGAGCGAGCGCCAGATGCGCCTCACCCGGCCGAGCTACGAGCAGGTCACAACGGACTACGCTCCGGGCTACACAAAACTCTCCGTCAGTCACAACTCGCGGTTCAACGCCGACTCTGCAGACGCAGCCGCCGCGACGATGGCGCCGCGCGTCGGCAGCTCCGTGTCCAGGAGCCGCATCACTGTGCCACCTGCGCCCGTGGTCTCGTGGTACGGCAGCCTTGCGATTGCCTCGAGCGTCTCGAAGCCGGCGGCGTCGCGCAGCTCGCCCCAGATCGTGAAGCTGTGGCCCCACTCGGCATGGGCGTCAAGCGCGATGAAGAAGTCGTCGCCGTCCTGGATTCGCGCGACGTAGCCCTTGCGCACGGCGGCTTGGCCCTCGGTCGGTGTGCCGCGGAGGCCGGGCAGCCTTCCCTGAATAAGCGAGTACGGACCGCAAAGGATCTCGCCGCATTGGCCGGGCGGCGCCGTCGGCACCGCCTCGTTGCGATAAAATGTTGCGGCGGTGCCCTCGTCGCCACGCTTGCCGACCGCAGCGATCACTGCAGCCACGGTGATCGGCGATAGGTCGGGGCGCAAATCAATTCGTATGGGCGCGAGGTTGGCGCCACTCGCGAGGCGCAGCTCCAATATTTGGCCACCGGCGGGAGGTCCAGCGAGCGCCATCTCGTCGATTGCAGCGCGCAAATCCTTGAAGCCGTGCTTGGTGCACGCGGACTCACACGACTCCCACATGAAGGCAGCGTTCCTGTCGCATTCGCCGGAAGCGGCCCAGTCGTCGCAGCTCGCCGGCGTGGGCGCGGCGCTGCTAACAGCCAGCATCAACGCGATGATCCGCCGCACGCCGGCCATCGTCGGGCACGAGAGAGAAGGGAAAAGGCGCCCATGATATTCGAAAAATTCTTTTTCGCGCGCCAAGTGGGCTGGTTGCCCCGCCCCCACCGCGCAGCTTCTTAACGTGTGTGTACATGGCGCACGACGCGTTCGCCAGCCACTGCTCTCGGCGGACGTGGCCAGCCGCTGGGTCGCTCCTCGCGTACTGCGCTGGCACTGCCAGCGCGGGCGAGAGCAGCAGTGCGGGCGAGAGCAGCAGTGGCAGTGGCGAGAGTGGTGTTGGGAGTGGTGGTGGGAGTGGCCTGCCTGCAGGAGCACGCGTCCTTGAGCTCGGCTCGGGGACAGGCTGGTTCGGCTGCACCCTCGCGGCTGTGCGGCCCGATCTTAACCTCTGCCTGACCGAGATGGCAGAGGCGGGCGCCTTTGAGGCGCTGTGCCGCAGCGTGCGGGAATTCAAGCCGCCGCCTGCGGCCGTGAGATGTGCGGAGTGCACGTGGCCAGACGTCGGCACGCTCGGAGATTTCGACCTGATCGTCGGCCACGCTATCTCCGCACCGAAGAAACCGCATGTGGATGGCGCGTCCCAACCTCTCGTGACGCAGTGTGTCCAGGCTCGGATCTCGTCTACTCAGCCGCAGGGGCGCGCGCCTTCGCATCCATCGTCGGCAAGCTGCTGCGGGCGGGCAAGGCGGCGGAGTGCCTCTACGCGCACACTGCAGAGCGGTGGGGCTCGAGCGGGTTCGACGCGGCGAGCCTCCCCGTCGCGCCGAGGGCTGTGAGCTGCGTCTCTTCACAGTGCCTGGCAGCGTGAACAGGACCTCCTCGAAAGCCTTCGCGGCGAGGGATTGGTGCCGTCACTGGCGAGGGGCGTGGAGGTGCGCCAGCGGAAGCGCTACCGGCCCTCTGCAGCCGGGCGGGACCACCCGATGTCATCCGAGTAACCCAGATTCTGGACCGCTGCAGCATCGGGCGCCTCCTCTAAGCGCGACGCGCCCACGACGCGTGCACAGGTCGGCGACGACGCGCCCGTCGCCCAGCGCAGCTTTGTCTTTCGCGTGCGCGCCTGCCCCGGCGCTGTCGCCGCGGGAATGTCGCACGGCGAGGCGGCGGCGGCGGAGGCGGCGGTGGCGGAGACGGTGGCGGCGGAGGCGGCGGTGGCGGAGGCGGCGGCGGCGGAGGCGGCGGCGGCGCGTGTCTTGACACGAGCTCGGCGGCATCGCGCGCTGGTACGGAGCCGGCTTTCGGAGGAGGTGGGGGGGGCGGGAGGGGGGGGGGGGTCGCGACGGGCGTGAGGGACTGGCGGTGATGAATGGCGCCTCACGGATTCGTGGCGTGAACAGGAGCGCGAGGAGGAGGAGTTCGGTCAGGCGCTATCCGAGTTGCTGGAGACGAGCCTGGAGAGAGGCCAGAGCTGGAGGCCTGCACAAGCAGCACCTTAGACCCCGAGGCATGGCGACGACCGACCAGCGAGAGAGAGTGGTTTTGTTGTTTCTGTCGTCGACGAGCCTCCGGAGCGAACAAGCAAGCCGGTGTCGTCTAGCGAATGTGGCTCTTGCGAACATACGAATGTACACCAGTGCTTTTTCTTCCTATAGCGCGGCCACGCACCAAACAACTCTAACACTCACACGTAATTTGGGGCCTGGAGCCCCTGGACCACACCCACAAAGATGAAAGAACCCTGCACAAAGATCGCAAGGGCGGGGACCTGTTCCTTTTTACCCATCTCACAGTAGAGGTGTCCCGTTTTTATTTATTTATTTCACAATGATGTTTATGGTGGTTTAGCCCTGTTCACGCGCGCGCGAGACGTGCAGACAGGGTTGACAGGTGAGAGCGAATGGCGCGGTGTTTTTCGTTGCAGCCGTTCGAGGCTCTTTTTTTCTTTTGGCATGGGTTCGAATTTATCTACAAGAAAGAAAGAACCCGGGGCGTGTGTTTTCATTCAAACTCGCGTGAAAGTGCGCGGCGGGTTTGTTTGTGGTGGTCGTACGTACTTATAGCTTACTGGGAGAAAAGAGAGAGGGGGCGTTGTGTTCTCTAGGCCCCTAAGGGCCCTACGCGCGGCGTGAGAGCTCCTTTGGTTGTACGAGTAGATAGATGTCCGCCTGGGGCGGCACTCCGCTCGCGACGTGTGGGGAGGAGCTGCGCCCGCTGAAGAGTCAGCTGCTGCGCGATTTGCAGCACTGGCCGCATGCGTCCATTCGAGAGCAGGTGCCTAGCGGGGATGCACGTGAATTGTACGGATAGGCCAAATCGCATAGATTGCCACGGCCTTGCTCCAACCCGTGCCCATAGGATCTGGACACGCTTCGCGAGCGCAAGGTTGATCCCGGCGTGAGGGTTGCTCTCATCATTGCCAACGGCAGCGTCTACCTCCCATCGCAGACGTTGTCGGCCAGTGGAGTGCCGGTCACATGGCCCCGTGGACGCCACCCCCTGCTCGCGCAAGTTGTCGCCGATTTGCGAGAGTTAGCTCCATCGCTGCCCAATGTCGAAATGGTGCTGAATACAGACGACTATCCGTTTGTGCCCCGTCAGCCTCTCTCTCCGGACAGGCCAGTCGTGCCCCCACTCTTCTCACACTACCAAACGAGCCGGCATGATGACATCTTGTGTCCCAGTGGCTCGTTCAGATTGAGCGACTATGACCGAAAGATGCTGCGAGGCTCCGAGCACTGGGAGGCTCAGTTTCCGTGGAGGAAGAAGATGAACCGCTCGTTCTGGCAGGGAATGCCGTATTGCGGCCTCAGCCGCTTCGGCCACTGCTCGCGCTTCTTGCTGTCCCATCTATCGGCGCAAAACGTCGTCTGTAGATGAACGCCAGAACGCATATGCTACCAGGTCACAGTATGGGTTCGGGACCTGTTCACACCAGTGTGATGGTAGGGGACACATATGTGCGACAGGGTACGCGCAGCATAGTGCCTCTCTATAAGAAGAGGCGCTGGCGGCTCTAGGCGTCTCCGCTCCTGGATGTCGGCCTCGTCGCTTACGAGAGCGAGAACGATCCCTACGTCCGGAGCCGCGGCCGGTCCGACTTCCTACCCAGCGCAACTCCGCTCGAGACGCGCAGCTTTGCAGACATGCGGCGACATGCGGCCTACCGCTTCCTGCTACAGCTCGACGGCCACAGCTGCTCGTACCGATTGCAGTCGCTTCTCGCGACAGGGTCGCTCGTTCTCAAGCAAGACTCCTACTACCACGAGTGCGGCCGAAGAAGGCACCGCCGTAGCCGTGAGCCGACAGCGCCTCGACGCCTTGGGACACACCCCGAGTAGGTACTACTACTCTGCGCTTCAGCCTGGCGTGCATTACATCCCCTTTTGGAACTCGTCGCCGCTGGACATTCTGCCGGCACGTCGACTTTGACCTCCGCCGGGCACAAGTATAAGACAGCGTGAGCGGGGCCGCCCCTCGCAGGTGCTAGCAGATGCAGCGGGCGTGCCTCAGCTGGAGACGATGAGAAAGGTTGCAGCGGAGAGCCGGCGGCTAGCGCACCGCCTTCTCAACGCGCGCCGCACCCCTGGACGCTGGGTCGCCACTCCCCTTCGCAGCCTGAGGTAGCCTACCTTCGTCCAGGCACACGCGAGGCATTGCTACTGGCGCGCCCTGCTCCGGGCTTACGCGAAGCGGCTGAGGTATGTCCCACAGCCGCATGAGAGGTGGCCCGCCGCGGTGCCGCTGCCTCCGCTGCCTCGACGCGAGCGCGCCATCGACTGGAGCCGCGTGAGCCACGAGTGGCGCCGGCGTGACGACGCGTCACTCGAGCGCTTTGATGAGGAGCTCGAGCGCGAGCTGGCGGCACTGCTCGCTGATGGGAGGCGCCTGGAGTCGGAAGCGGAGAGGCGGTCGCCGCAGGCGCCTCCAATTAAGCACCACCCGGGCGTGAAGTGGTTTTCTTAGTGCTAGTCCCCCCCCTAGTGCTAGTCCCCCCCCATCGGGAGGACAACCCCGGCAAGTCGCCGACCACACCCACAAAGAACCCTGGCTGCACAAAGACCGGGCACGGGCGGGGACCTGTTCCTTTTTGTTTATTTAATTGGAGGACAGAGCGACGCCCTTTATTTGCGCGCGCAACACCAACGATCGCAGGTGAACCCACTCTCCCGACCCCCCCCCCCCCCCCAAACCGCGGCGACCAACGCGACCTTTGAACTAACATGTGAGTTCCGTCTGCCTCGCAACCGATCAGACCTGCCGCTGCACCGACGACGCCTCGCCTCCAGAGACGTCTCGCGCCTCCGCAGAGCTGCGGCTGCTCATCTTGGCGAACACCCGGCTGAGGCCGCCTAAGCTGCGCTTCGCGAGGCTGCCGCGCTCGGCGATGCTGCCCGAAAGGAGGTCCGCCCGCGTCCGAGCGGGGGTCGCGCCGAGGCTCTTTGCCAGAAGCACGAGCGACACCTGCGGACAGGGACGCCCCTCGTCACGAAGCTCGGCGCACAAATGGGTGAGACAGAACGCGCGCCTTGCGGTGGCGCCCCGGGAAGCAGGATGTTGCGAGGTCCTTGTAGAGTCCTGAGCTCCTGCGGCGTCGGAGGGTTTGGGGGGCGGGAGCTGAGATTGGGCAGTGGAGAGCATGCGCTCTCTACTCCGCGAGCCCGCTCCTGCGGTGTGACTTCAAACATTCTCGAGAACTGGCAGCCGCCGAGGTCCGGGACGTTCTCGTGCGCCATGACGATCTTCAGCTTGTCTTCCCGCGCCCGCTTGACGTGCTCGGCCAGCCGCTCGCCGTCGTCCTCTAGCCAGGTATTCTGATTGAGGTACAACAGCATGTGGGTAGCCTTGCCGGCGCGGCGCGTTCGGCGTGCCAACCCGCGAAGTGCCATGGAGGGGCGCGCTGATGCAGAAGAGCCAACGTCCGCAACGGTAGAGACGGTGAGGCCGCGAAAGGCGCTGGCAAGCTCGCAGGCCAGCTCTGCGGCGCCCGGGTTGGCTGGCGAGGCCCAGAGCGTGGTTTTGGAAAAGGCGAGCGACTGGCTCTCGAGCTCGCCCGACACGCAGAGCGGCAGGGAGGTCTTGCTCAGATAGTTGGGCGAGCAGAGGAGCAGCGCCTGCGGCTCAAGTGGGGGCGGTCGGGAGACAGAGAGCACTGCGGAGCGGCTGACCGTGGCCCGCGCGGAGCCTCGGCGATGATCTTGAGCGAGATGAGCCGGAACTCATCGATGCGTTACCAGTTCGTGAGCTTCCAATCCTTGTCAAAGATGTCCGCTTTTCAGGGTCCGCTTCTTGGACGAGGACGAGCGGCTTCCTCTGCTCGAGCGACGAGCGGACCTCTCGGAGGCAGTTCTGTGGCGCGGGAGAGGCGGAAGTCGGTACGGCCAGAGTGCGATGAAGACGCTGTGGGAGGAAATTTGCGCCTTGGAGCGGAAGTAGCCCTGCGAAAGGAAGAAGAGGACGACTTGCGACCGTTGGATGTACTCCTCGAGCGCCCCAATATCCTTTAGATCATCCACCTGCGCACACCGCGGAGCGTGAGAGGTGTTCTGTGTGTGTAGCTAGCGCGGCGGAGCATCTGCGCGCGTCGAGAAAGATCTTGATATCCGGCAGCAGCTGCTCGAGCTCACCCTTGATGACCTTTACGGCGTCTTGACCGGTCGACCTATTCGTTTGGGTAAGGGGAGGGGGTGATGCCGGCGGGTTTCCTTCCACCCTCCATGGCTGTATGACTCACCAGATGTGGCTGTTGAAGAGGTGCCACGTGAGGCCGAGCACGATGCTCAGCTCGGGGGGCTGCTTGGTCGAGACGAGCCGGATCGTGGGGATCATGGCGACGCGGCGGGCGGCGACGACGGCGCCGATGAGGAAGAAGAGGAGCGTCACGGCGACGAGGACGAGCATCGAGTTGACGACGCCGTTCAGCTTGCCGAACCCGAGGATGGCGGCGGCCTCCCCTGTGTCGGGGTGCCGCTCCTCAATGCCGAGGAAGATGGTGGTCCAGTTGGCGCCAAGGAAGAGGAGGAGGAGCACGAGGCTTGTCGCGACGGCTAGCACGTTGTCGCCGACCCGCTTGTACGGCCGCACGACGGCGAGCGCGACGGCGTAGCACGAGCAGATCAGGGTCGCCACCACGAGGCGAAGGAAGGCGCGCTCCTCCGGTATCAGCAACACAAAGCCCGTGAGTACGAGCTTGCGCGCCAGCTCGATCGCCAGGGTTCGGGCTACTAGCCGGATAGGGGGTCTGTTGCCCGACTCTGTGGGGGGCGGTCGTGGGCGTCGAACTGGCTGGCAGCCGCCAGCCCCCCTCCCAGTACCCAGAGATAGGACATGGATAGGTTGGTCTTGTTTCGCCCAAAATGCAACAGGCACGTGCCCCCTAAATAAGAACCTCGTTTATAGCCCCCCGCTACCCGGTTGCACTCGTGCGACGTAGCGGGGGGCCACCACCGTCCGCTCGACTGCCCGATGAAGAGCGACCCGTACGTCGCGCACTTGTCGTCCTCCCTCCTCGCCACATGACGGCCGCCCCCCGACACCGACAGTCGCGCTCCGCACGCCTTCGAGGTCAGCTGCGGCCGAGCGACGATCGGCTCGCCTCCGATCGCTGGGCGCGGTCACTCTCCGGCCCATCACCCGCCTGCCGATCACCTGTCCGCCTCGCCACGCGCGGGCCGCTCGCCTGCTCGCCACCGCCGCCGCGCGTCCCCTCGCCGCCACGCTTCCCTGTGCACCTGACGGCGCTGCGCAGACGGCGCGCTCTGGCAGACAGAGCAGCGGCCGCCCAGGCGGTCGCTGCTCCGGCCCGTCCGAATCCGTCCGCCCGCGCGTGCTGCTGCCGCCGCCGCCGCCGCTCCACCCGGTGCCCGTGTGTCGTGAGAGTTGCTTTGTGTATGTGTATGTCGTATTTGTGTGGACTTATGTCACACTTGAGCCTCTATCTATGATAGAGACCGGTACTCGGGTTTGGATGGTAGCGGGGGGCCCCGCCGGAGGCTGGTTACTGATGGTCCAAAATAAGAACCTCGTTATAAAAAGACACATCTTCGATCTTGCGAGCCAACGGCAACGCGTGGTTCTCGAGACGCATCCGAGCCCGCGCCGAGCTGCGCGCCGAGCGCGCACATGCCATCCGTCATGATACAGTAAGAGGGTTACGATTCATTCCCGTTGCATTCTCCAATTTGCGGTTGCGCGTCGACCCTGGGGTGTCGTACATGGGGCTCCATACCACTTAGCGCTACGGTCCGCGTCGGCCTACCGATCGGCCTCGAGGGTAACGGGGCCGCGCATCGATCGGCCTCCTCGAAAGCACCGCAGGGCGCCCCTAGGACTGGGACGCCGTCCGACGCCCCCCCTCCTAGAGCCGCTTTTTGTGCGGCCCGAGCTCCGTCTTGGACGCCTTCTTGTAGCAGCGCGCGCCGCCGACGGGCAGCGTCGAGAGGATCGGGCCCTTGAAGAGCTTGCAGCGGGACGCCTTGCCTTTGACGGCGTACTCGAACCCTGCGCGGGCCAGATGGCAATCTCGTGTAGTAAGCTCGTGTAATCTCGTGTAATCTCGAACCCTGCGCGGGCCAAAGCGCAGTGTGCTGCGACCAAGAGGAAGGAGCTGAGGTGGGGGGGCGGGTGTGTGTGTGGGGGGGGGGGGGAGGCGCGCCGGTGCAGCCGCGGCTGAAGAGGCACATGTCGTGGCACTCAGGGTAGGACTTGCCCCAAAGCTCGTCAAAGTTGCCCTTGTTCTTGTCGTCCGTGCGGCACACGCCTGTAGCGGGGCGCGTGTGGTGGCGAGGCTAGGACATATTGGGGACAGGTGTGTGTGTGTGTGTGTGTGTGTGTGTGTGTATTGGGGAGGGGGGGGGGTGAGGGGTGTGGGGGGGGGGGGGGGGGAAGCAATGGCTTTCGCCCGGGAAGGGGAAGGGGGAAGGGGGAGGGGAAAAGGGGGGGGGGGGGGCCACCCTAAGTGTTCTTGAATTTAAAGGACGGGTTATAAAGGGCCCAAACCAGGCTGCCAAAAGGCAAAACCCACAATTAGGCTAACGGCTTTGGGCCAGGCCCAAGCCCAGGGCCGGGGCCCGGGCCGGGCCCAGGTCCGGGGCCGGGGCCGGGCCCGGGGCCGGGGCCGGGCCCCGGTGTCGCCAAAAAAAACCGGGGGAGACAA